CAGAATTTTCCATAGTAAACCATTGTTACTTTGCTCACGTGTAATTCCATTGAAATATTCTTTAAATTTTTAAAAATTAAGATTTTTGTAATAAAATTTTAGAAAACATTTTTCATACTTAACAAATTTTAACAATTTTATTTTAAAATATAAAAAAATTTTAAAATATAAAATTAAACAATTGCAATTTAAAAAAAGATTATTTTATGATTATTTATATGATTATTTATTATGATTATTTATATGATTTAATAATTATAACTTTTATAATTATAATTTTTATATACTAATAATTTATTCAAATTTTAAATATTTTAAATATCAAATAATATAATGATATATATAATATATATTATTTAATTAATTTAATTATTTAATATATATTATTTAATTATTAATATAGTGAAGACAATATGTCATAAATCTCAATAATGTGTATAAATAAGTACATTGTACAAGAAAAATATAAATATCTTCAATTATTTCAAATATTTTTGACTCGATTTTCCTATTAATCTTGGTAGGAGTATTTTAAAGCTTACAATTTATCAATGTGAATAATAGATAATAATAAAAATAAATACAAAAAATAGAATGAAATAATCATTTAAAAAGATTATCAAAGATAGAATTAATTTTCTTTATATTTTATTTTCTTTTATTTTTTTGCCATTTTGATCCCATTTACAAATTTTTTATTTCTAATTCAAATTTTTTTCTATTCATTATTTTCAATTTCCTTTATTTATTTCCTTTATTTCCTACTTGATTTAGAATTTATTTTTTGTTTTCAATTTTTAATTTAAAATTCTCTTCTTTCCAATTTCTAATATAATTTAAAATTCTATATTCGATTTCTAATTTAATTTACAATTTTTCATTCTAATTCCTAATATGATTCAAAATTCTTATTCTCTTTTTTACTTTAATTTAAACTTGCCTCTTTTCTAATTCTTAATTTAACTTAAATTAATAAATTCTCTCTTCATTCTAATTTTTAACTTAATTATTTATTTTTAATTATTTATTATTTAATTTAGAATTTTCTTTATTTTAATCATTCATCTAATTAAAATTCCCAATATTTTTTTATATTATATATATTTATTATTATTCAAAATTCTCTATTTAAATTCTCTTTTCAATTTCAGTAGTCAATATGACTAATAGCTAAATCTTTGAATTAAAATTCCATTCACTTTAACTTCTAATCTAATTTAGAATTATTTTAATTCCTAATTTGATTAAAAAATTCTTTCATTTAAATTTATAATTCTTTAACCTAATATCTATGACCTCTTAGCATTATTCATTCATAAATTTACCAAAGAAAAAAAGAACACTTCTTGAATATAATAACCTCTCCCTTCTTTCCTTTCGAGTCTCTTTCGCCACATTTTCCTCTCGAGACGAAGCTGAGACGTGCTTCAATTAAGCTTCTCGGCGTACTAGGCCAAGATAGAGGGCGCTACTGTCAAGATAGAACACGTCAAACCATGTAACTCAAGAATATCGCATGAAAAATATATAAAAGGATAGGAGCAGATACATGTTGGAACCGCAAACCAGGACCACAGAATGCGCTATGATTTCTGCGTCATAGTGTTACATAGGACATTTCTACGGACAAATAAAGATAAAGAAACGTAGGTTAATGTTTTGAAATTGTGTCAGGTCGATATCGATATCGAGAAAGGGAAATCTGATTATGCAAAGACAACTTTAAATCAAAAAAAAAAAAAAAAGCAGAGTTCGATCGATAAATTAAACAGTGTCGAGTTACTTGTCCTTTTTTGTATTTGTATTTTTGTATTTAAAAGAAAGATTTTCTTTTTTTTTTTATTGTTGATTGAGTTTATGAGAAAAATCGAAATGCTGGTAATTCAGTCTGTTTAAAGATAGAATTTCATTATAAAAAGAATCGATAATTGAAATCTAGAAAGATAATAATGAAATAATAATCTTCTCAATTTGATTTGAAATGTTAATTTTATATATGTTAAATTTGTTATATTTTTTCATTCGTATTGTTTTATTTTTGAAAGATATTTGTTCATAAATAAAGATGTACGTAGTACATCTTTTAATATATGTAATATTTAATATATGTAATATTATTATATAGATTAAATTTTAAATAAATTTGATAGAAATTATATTATTATATAACATATATAATTATATTAATTATATAAATAAAAATATTAAAAATTTTGATGATAGTGATTTAAATGAATTATTGTTGAATTTGATTATTATTTTTAATTATAGTTTTTGCAAAAAAGT